CCAGTAACTGGGGCACAATGGACCTGTTCATATCAAGATGCCCACATATACCAGAACAATCCTAATGCAGTAAGATTGTCCCTCCCACTCCACCGTGGACAGTGACAATCATTTAACAATCCCAGAAGGCATGGCCCTTGTCACCAGATGTCATCTCAAAGGAAGGAGGGCTCTATAGACAGAGAAGACAGGAACAGTCCTCACTGGCTCCTGGCCCATATAAGCATAGGCCTACACACTTCAGGGCAGCTTCAGGGCACCCTTCCTGTATCTGCATTAATCCCCTCTCTTCCCCAATACCACTGTACCTTTTCCTAGAGTCCTTGCGGGCCTCCTCCAGTTCAAGATTCTTACCTCCACAGCCCTCCTTGCCTTTGCTCCCCAACCTGGGTGCCCTTCCCCTGCAGGGCCCCCACATCCCTGACTCCCAGAGTATATCTTTGCAGTCCACGTGCCCAAATCCACCCCTCCCCATCCATACACCCAAACCCACTTCCTCCCCACCCACACTCCCCGTCCACACACCCTTCCTGCCTCTACAGGCCTAGATCTGACTTCCCCCAGCCCATCCCTTCTAAGCCTTCTTTGAGAGCCTTCTCACCACTGGCCAGCTCTAAAACTCTGTCCCCCCAAAGATGGAGCAAAACTGATTTTTCTCTCCTCATGACACAAGTGTACCTGAAACCTGCAGCATACTCTGTTATTTTAGGTTTAGGTTTGGATTCGGGCTTTTTAATTCCTAGATTGCTCTCAAGAGCATTTTGACCATGGGATGGTAGGAAGTAGGTTAACACCAGGCTCCATTCCTGCCTCTTGGTCTGGGGAGGATCTTCTGACCTCAATTCTTGGGGCTCTCGAGAAGCCATGGCTGTGATTTAAACATGGCCCTGAAAGTTTCTGTGTTGGAAAGTGGCTCCTCAATGTCTCATGTCAATGTCACTCGGAAGTGAGGCCTTCGGAGAGATGAGGTCATGAGGGTGGGACCTATGGTATTGGTGGCTTTACAGAAGAAGAGAAAGAGAAGCCCAAGCTACCTCACTTGCTCAGTCTCACCTTGGCACGCCCTTGCTACATTAAGAAGCAGCTAGATGCCTTCACAGACTCTGGCACCTTGATCTTGGATTTCTCAGACTTCAGAACCATAAGCCAAATAAACTACTATTCCTTATAAATTTAACCTCAGGAAATTTTGGTACAGCAATATAAAGTGAACGGACACTCTTTCCCTTATGGCTCAAATCATCCTGGGCTTCGTTGTGCTGAGTGGCCTACGGCACTTCCATATCTTCTGATCATTGTTTTAAAATCACCCAAGCAGCGAGCCTTCGCCAGAGTGTCCAAGTGTCTGGGGAAGATCAGGGCTGTGGGGATGGAGCAACACCTTGAGATGAGCCATGTCAAGGTGTCAGCACCTCATCGTGTCATGGTCACGACACCGGGACTCACCTCCCCTGAATGGCAGTGGAGGACACAGTAGGTAGAATATGTTCCCCAAAAGAATTATGTCTTCACCCCCAGACTGACCTTATTTGGAAATAAACTGAGTTAAGATGAGGTCACACTGGAGTAGGTTAGGCACTGATGTCTTTGTCAAATGCGGGAAACGTGCACACACACACACACACACACACACACACGTCATGTGAAGAGCCAGATACACAGGCACACAGGGGAGACTGCCACATGATGATGGAGACAGACATTGACATACATGTCTAAAGCCAAGGAGCACCAAGGACTGTCACAGCCACCAGGAACCGGGGAGAGCACGGGGTGGTTTCTCCTTACTGACTCCTGGATTGGGGATATCTGGCCCCCAGGACCATATGAGAATAAGTAGCTATTTTGTTAAGCTGTCGGCTTTGTGGTTCTGTGTCACCACAGCCACAGGACACTAAGATAGGTCTGAATTACTTGTCCCATCCACCAGGATCATCATCCTGGTGCCACACCTGATGTCCTAGGCCCTGTGGACCAGAGTCCATCCTAGGAGCTGGCAGCGACGTCCAGCCTGTTCTCAGATGGGCCACTCGCCTCCCAGCTCCAGCACTGGAGCTACATCTGGAGGCTCGTCTCTCCCTTAATTGTTCTCAATGCTTTAACACAGGATGACTAATGGGCTCTAATTGGACAGCTTTGGCACTGAGTAGTGGCCCAGGGAACTTGCTGCAGTGCCCTCTGTGACCCACCAAGTCTCCTTGTTGCTCACACATGCAGTGCAGAGGTCCCCAGGAAAATATATTGGCCCACTTGTCTATTTTTTTTAAAAAAAAATCACACCAGCGCCAATAAACAGTTTTATCCTTCACCTGACAAATACAGGACAAAGAAAAGGATAGAGGAGAAGCTGAAAGCAGACAGGACCAGCACAAATGCCACTCAGGTTGGTGGCATCTGTCAAGAGATGACCTAGAGAGCTCCTGGAGCCAACCCAGCACCAGTCAGTTGGGGGAGGGTTAAAGAGAGGCCGGAGGATTCCAGCCCCTGATTTCCCCTTCATGGGGAAAGGAGAGAGGAGAGGGCATCGCAGACACCTCCTCATCTCCTTCCTGGCCCCATGGGCCCTGCGTGTGACTGCACACTCCCCAAAACCACAGGGAGAAGGCCGGGGCAGAGAGGGGCTGGCAGAGTGAGGGGCCTTGGAAGAGAAAGTCTAAAAAGCTTAAGGCACGCGGATTCCTCAACAGGACAAGCAGAGAGAGAGAGAAGAGGGAAGAGGGAAGCAGCCCAGCAGTCTGAGGTTCTGGTTTCCTGATCACTGAGGCACAGTATAACACGGTGTAGTGTTCCAGTGCAAATGTTCAGAAGAGATTACAGATTCCACGCCCCGTACTCACCCCGAGTCTGCTTGTCCAACTCCATTTGTCAACAGAAGATGAACCCCAAGTGTTTTTAAATGGACTCATGTTTCCAAAGTTGTTTCAAGCTAAAATCTTCAAATTAAACTCTCAGGTTGGAGAAGATAGGACATTGCTAGAGAAGGAGGCCCCACAGCATCCCCCAGCAGAACCCAGATGGACGAGCCCCCATGCACAGGAAGGTCTGTGAGGGGCAGGGAAACCGGCTTCTCCCTCCCCACCCCTGCTGAGGAGACGCCCGTGTCACACGAAAGGCGCGCCCACTGCTGATGCCGGCAGCCCGTGCCTCAGTTCGGCCCGAGGTGCCAGCACCCCTGTGATGGATTCTGGTTTAACAGCTTTTAAAAACAAGCAGACAAGAGACAGGCATGATGGATGGGTACAGGAAGTGTGCTCATCAGAGATGATTTATGGGAAGGCGCATGTGGTGCTCACGGGTGCAGCGCCAAGAGGCACGAGGGACTGGAGCGTTCCCACCTGAGCAAGGCAGGCAGCACGGCCGGGCTTGCTCACACACAGCCCCGGTGTGCGGGGCCCCAGCCTCGGTCACCCGCTGTCCTGCACAGATGGCCCCTGACATCAGCCAGGAGACTTGGTTCACCTCTGGGCTCCAGAACAGTGGTGCTCCCACCCCTCAAAAACATTTGGGGAAGGGACATCCAGCTGTGCCCCCTGGCTCTGCTGAGTGACCCCAACAACGCACAGTGACATGGTTTGGGAGATCCTGGCTGTCCCAGGAGAGTGGCAGGGGCAAGGGAAGAGGAAGGGAGGGGACAACACGTGACCTGCACCATGACGTTGGTCCTGGATGCTGGGGGTGGGGGAGTCCCCTCCTGGACAGCTGCAGAGCCATCTGCCTGGGGTCTCAGGCACTGCATGTAGAAACAAATCTCATTTTGCAACAGATTAATTTCCACCCATGTTTTTAATAAGGACTTGGAATTTACATACAGCAAAACCCAAACTGAACCCATATTTGAAGGGATGAGCTTTAAAATGAGATCTAACGAAGGGGACCCTTTCTAAGACAGAAGGAATGACCAGGGCAGGGCAACAGCCTGGGAGGAATTTGCTTCCTCCCCACACCCTGCTTTGAACCCAGGGTGCTTCTGCGGTGAAGGAGCCAGACTACGTGGCCTTCACGACAAGGACAATGCTGGGCTGACCCCCTCCCGCCCCGGTTCCCACAGGCTTCTCTGTCTCTGTTCTCCACCTGGGGTGTGGGACCCACAGGTGGGAGGCCTTTCTCCAGGGATGGGCCACTGCCTCTGGGCAGGGCTGGCATCCACGGTGGGAAGGGCTGGGCAGCACCTCTCTGGAGCCCATGTCTGGGTCCCACGAGAAGAGCTGGGCCACAACCCTGGGGCAGGCTGAGCACAGGGGTCAGGAGCCTGGCACGCCGGGCCGCCGACCCACACGCCTGCCTCTCCTTCAGACTGCCACCTGCCCTCCCTAAACTGACTAAAACACAGAGCATCCAGGCCACATACAGGCATCTGAGAGGCATGAGTCAGCCCCAAACAGTCTCCAGAAAGGTCCTCCAGAGCCTCCATGGTCGGCAGAATGATACAGGTGCCAGGGCCACACCCAGCATGGCTTTACGGCACAGGAGATGTGTCAGTGTGCAGTGGGGGTTGTTTAAATGTCTGTCCCGAACATGGCCCCCGAAATCCCACTGCTCTCATCCTGAGTCCATGCCCCACGCAGCCAGCCCTCCTGAGACAGGACGACAGGGCAGCAGCTCCCCACCTGTTCCCTGCTCCTGCTCCAGCCTCCCTGCTCTGTCCGCTCCCACACAGAAGGCAGCAGCATCTTCACGCAATGCAAGCCTTTCAGGGGCTCCCACTGCCCTTAAGACAAAAATCCAACAGAGCCAGCAAGGATGCTCAAAACCTGTCTCCTTCCCTTTTTTCCATTTCCTGCTCAGCTCCTCAACCTGGCCTTGCAAAGCTCCACCAGACAATTCCCGTCTGCCAGACCTTCCCAACGAAAGTCACAAAGCCACTACGATCTGCAAGCTGGAGACCCACACAGAGCGCCCCACCCTGTGACTCCTCTGTAACGTGGTGAAATCACCTCATTTCAACTGGCTCTCGTGTGCAAGCTCAGAGTGCACAACAGACAGGTGAGCAGCGGCCTTACCTGGTGACCAGTGGGTGGGGAGAGTGGTGTCGCTGGGCAGGGAGGCCCCAGGGAGCTTCTGGGATGCAGCGCCACTGGGAGAGCAGGTAGCACGGGAAGGGCTTAAATTCTCAGGGACAGGTCTTCAATCTGAGGGAAAAGAGAAAAAATGTTCTTGAAAACTGCCTTTGAAGAAGTCATCCTTGCTTTAATCTAAAGAAATTGGTACCTTATTAATAAACGAGACGAGAGAGAGCAGCATTGCCCAGGTTTGGCCCCAGAGACCAGCTCCCTTCCTCCAAGGGCCGCTTTTGCTTTTACAAAGCCCAGGGGAGTGAAAGGAGTCTGGAGGAAAACAGACCATTAGAACTCTGTTGCCAAAGAGCCGCACACGGTCCCTCCTGCTGCTGTGTGCCTGAGCTCTGGTCACCCACTCCCTCTGGCTCCCCAGCCCCAGGATGCTTGGAACCCACTAAGCGGCCCCATCTTCTCTCAGGCCCCCTCCTGCTGCTCTCACTTCGGAAGCCACCACTGCCAGCCCTCCTGCAGCCAGCTTGTGCTGCTCTTTGTATGAGAGTCATCAGATGACACCATTGCCCTGACCACAACCCTCCCTCAGTCCTACGTCGTTCAGAGAAAATATCCATGGCTGTGGTAAATCCACCTTTTGGGAGCGTGGGGTCTATAGGATTTGGGAGACTCACTCTCTAAGAAAATAAGGCAAGATGATGGATGGAAGGCTGAGATGCAGGGCCTTGCAGAGGCTTATGCATTCACACAGCTTGGTCCCTCACGGCCCTGCAGCCCGGCCTCCCGGCTGTCCCTCCACACAAGCAGGCCTCCTTGCCATGTCCCCTGGACTACCCCTCCATACCCATGCACGGCTTCTTGTCCAGCTCGCCTCTCCTCAGGGGCCCTCTCAACATGGCACTTCCCAATGAGGCCATCCCAGGCCAGACGTCCTGTAGAAGTCACCACTGCGTCCTGGCATTCCCTGCTCTCTTCCCCATGGCTGCTCCCCCAGCATCGGTCATCTGGCACCATCGGTAAGCTTGGGTGCGGCTGCTGGAACGCATGCACGCTGAGGGCCACAGAGCTTCACAGCTGTGGGACTCCCACTGCCTCCCTGGCTAGTGAGTTCTGCCTGAAGGAAGGGGTGAAGGGAAGAACTCTCACTCACTCTCCCACTAACGCTCCTGGTTTTGTTTAGAACAGTGTCCCACCTTCCAGGGTTGGGCTCCAAGAAGCAGAAGGAGGCCAGTGGATTCTGTGGCTTCCAAAAGAGATGGGATAGGACGGATGTGGGCACCTCGGCCCTGGAAGACTTCTGTTTGCTCCATGTATCCCACCCCAATTAGTGTGCCTACTCTCAGGCTGGGAGAAAGCACACACTGTTTGGCAAATCGGCTCCATCAGCCCAGAGCCTGGTGCTGAGTGGTTATGTGACTGGGCTGGGAGGACCAGGGAGTAGCTGAGCTCCTTGCTTTGTGCCCTCCCCCAAAGAAAGGCTTCCACCCACCCATCACAGACATCTCATGACCGGGCTTTTGAAGAAAAACACTACTACTAATAAAACTCCTGTTTCTTTTCCTAAAATGCAGTTACTTAAGAGAGCATAACCCCTATCCTAATCGCAGGAGCAACCTCACAGAGAGCCCTGCCAGCCCTGGGGAGAGGCCCAGCGATGCCTGTCTGTGCCACACTCGATGCAGGTTGATGGGCACAGGAAGGGATGGAAACGCCCTGGCTCTGGAGGTCCCTCCTCCGTGGGAAGTGGAGTGCCCTGTCCTGTGTCCTCAGTCTAAATGCAGGAAGGGAAAGGCCTGGGGGAAGAGCCAGGGGACCCTGGGAGGGGCCCTCAGGCAAGGGAGAAGGGGGCCCAGGAAGGGGACCCGAGCTGACCGCAGGTGGGCAGGCTGCTCTTGGAGCTCAGGGCTGGATTCTCAGCAGCCAGCACAAAAGGCAAGGGCAGGATTCACTCTGCAACAGGCCCTTCAGAGCAGGAGGCTCCAAGTGGGAGGTCTGGGCCTACCCTGAGCCTGGGGTCCACACCCCCTCGCCCCTGGTTCCAGCTGAGCTGAGAAGGAGTGGCTGCATCCGAAGCTCCTCGAGTCTCTTGGAGGTTTCGGGGAGACCACGGGATACCCTTTGATTCCGGGACGCTGGACATGATTCCAAGAGCCCACTCTTGCTTTTCCGGGTCACCTCTTCTGCACACAAGTCTCCCGCAGGCTGGATGGGGGGTGGCCCCTGGAGAACCCGCCCAGCTCTGCCCTCTCACCACTGCTAACACAGAGTGCCGGGGCCGGGGCGGGCTGGGGCCAGGCACAGGGCCATCATTCTGCACTTATTTATTCTGTTCTCTGGCCTTTGAGGCAGACAGAGCTGCCTCCTGGGGCAGCGGGAGCAGCACAGGAAGGCACCAGGGGCAATGGGCATCCCACAAGGACATGGAGATGGAATCCATTCCTGGGGATCCCAGGATGCTTGGGGAGCAAGGTGGACATGTGAAAGCTGCCTGGCCAGGACTGCCGCCCAGAGTCCCTGGTACCTAAGCCCAGTGAGGGCAGAGAAGAGGGCCAAAGACAGGGAGGGGAGGTGGGACAGATAAAGGGGTCTGCCCCCCAAGCCTCCCCCACCACTTTGGTCTTTATTGTAATTCCTGGATTCTGTTCCACCTATTCCAGAGACAACTTCTTTCACATCTCCCCATCCAGACCCGAGCCACACACGCATCCCAGAAGGAGGCGCCCTGGCAACTCTCCACTCTGCTGCACCGCCCAATCCAGCTCGCCTAAGATGCTGTTTCATTTTAACGCATCCTCCACAGCCGTCTGCAGCCGCTGGCTTAGAGGATGCAGACAACAGCGACGGGGACTGGACTGTCAGCCTCCGCCGAGTCTCCAGGCCCAAGCGGTGCCTGTGCCCTCCAGGCCCCTCCCAGCTGCCTCCCCAGGCCCCACCAAAGGGCCCAAGCAGCCTGGTTCTGTTTTCCTCCACCTGAGCCGAGCAGGAGACAAGAGCCTGCGCCCTCTGCCCTCCATTCCCACTCACCACCCAGCCCCAGAGCACAGAAACATGAACCGGGGCCCGCGCACACCCCTCTCGGCCCTGTGGCCCCAGCCATCAGGGATGCCGGGTCTGCCCTGCCCCCGCCCCTCCGTGGTGCTCCCAGCTCCAGGATGCCGGAGAGAGTACAATGGGGCAGGGTGGTGGGAGGCAGGTGGTGACAAAGTGGCCACGAAGCCTGTCTCCCGGTTCCCGTAGCGCTGCCCTTGGGCAGAGGTGGAAGACTGGCAAGGCCTGCTGAGGGCGGGTGTCCTGGCCCGCTGAGGGCTGGGACGATAGAGACAGGAGGACCTCCCTAAGCCTGCCCAGGGCCGCAGGGTCAAGTCCACAGTCCACTCTTCCCACCTCCACCCCCTGCAACCTGCCGTTCACAAGGACGAGAGTCCAGTGTGCGCCTTTGGGGAGCGGGAGCTGCATCTTCCTCATTCTCTGAAGCACATTGATTGCACCCCACAGAGAGCAGAGCACAGTGCCAGGCCCCTACCGTCCAGCCTTGGCAAGCACACTGCCCAGCGCAAGAGCACACGAGGCGCGGCCAACTGATGACCTTCAAGCAGGACTGCTGTCCCTGGCCTCCTCAGCCCTCCCACTATGGGAGATCAGTGAGGAACTCGGAGCCCTGGTCCTGTCCCCTACACACACGCACAGGCTAGATACCTCTGGCTCCAGGACGCCAGGGACAGTGGAACACAAAGGTCACTGCTGACCACAACTTTTGACTCTTTCTTGATCCCTCTACCTGCTTCTTTAGGATCCAATCCATTTGCTTTAATGATTGGGACCCCCCAAATAATATAGGGGTCCAGGGGCGCTTAAGTTTCTCAGCAAGACTGGACGTGGCCAATGGGGACCTGGGAAGCTGGAAAGTGATAATTAAACCTGACCCCATCTAGCGCTAGAGCCGTGCCCCAGGGCTGGGCAGAAGGCTGTCTCAGAGAAGAATCATAGCGACCACCCCTCCAGGGCAGCTTCTCAGTTATAGACTCCTTGCCCACAGTGTGGGCGGCCACTCCAGCCCCTGGCTGCTGAGCTGGCTGGCTCCCAGCTTTGACCCCAAGGTGGCAGGAGGCCTGGGCTACCTTTGGTGCTCTAACTGCCAAAGGTCTGTCCTCAGATTCTTGTCACTGGGGAGATAAAATGAACAAAGGGAACACCTCACCTTCTAAAAAGTATCCTTCCACAAAAAATAAGCCACACACATAGGAGGAGCGAGGTGGGAGAAGGAAAGAGAGACAGATAGACAGACGGACAGGCCAAAGGAGGGAAGGGGAACGGAGGAGGGAGACACACTGCCGGGGACAAGGCACATTCTGCCAGCCTGGACACGGGGAGCTGTGGGGGACAGCGCAGAGACGTGGTTGAAGTTATCACAGCCATTGGAGCAGAAGCCACAGGCAGACAGGCCCCGAGCCAACAAGAGGTGGGTGACAGGGCCCTGGGACAGGACAGGAGGAGGGCAAGAAGGCGAAAACCGAGGGCCCTCCTGGGCTGACCCGGACGGTCTTGGATGGATGCACATTTGTCTGCCAGGGGTCCGGGGTGCTGGGTAAGCACCCGCCAGGGAAAGAGAGGCCAAGGCGGGACCGGGAGAGCCTGGCCAAGTGGTCACCGTCATCACCCGCAGGTCATCAGAAAAGGACAAACCTCACGAGCATGAGGAGGGCAGACCCCTCTCGGTGTTTGCACTCAGTTTTCTGAAAGGAAGGATGGGAAGGAGAGAGGGAAGACAGGTGCGGTGAGCCCTGTGTGTGAAGCAATACTTCTGCTGACAATCGCTAGGCGACCTCGAACCAGGTAGGGAGCAGAGGAGGCTGCCAGGCACTTTATCCCCGCCGGGACGCTGACTCCTCCCAGAGCTGGGGGCAGCAGAATGGCCTTCACATTCCACACAGCACAGCAAACTGAGCCCACCAGAGACCCCAGATCCCAAGACCCCTCGCATCCTCCACTGCTCCTGCAAAGAGGGGCCCAACAGCAAAGCTTAAATCCAGACTTCTCCCCAGGTTCCCAAAGAGGAAGGTACTCGTGGACTCAAGGACCTGCAGGCAGGTCAGGGACATCACTGGTCCTTATAAACTAAG